TCCTTTTGCAACAGATCTAGTTGAATGACCACTTCCAGAATTTGATTTGGGCAGCAATGCACAGAGAGTTCCATAACTGGCACCTTGGAAGATCAGAAAACATAAATATGGTGTTGCGCTCACAACAGTGAATCTCCTGAAGCGTGCGTGACGCCTCCAGCCAACACACCTCATTGGTTTGAAACAGATTTATCTAGTTGAAGTGCATATGGCTGTTTAAAAAGTAAAAAAATAAAAAATAATAAAAAAAATTATGTAACTAGAATAAAACAGATTCAAACGGAGGGAACATCTGTCAGTTAATATGCAAGAAACGATTAAGCTCGTTTTGAATTTAGCCTGACTGCTGCGGGGCTCAAACAGAGTGGCATCCGTTTTCATTTAGGGTTCAGCAGTCATTTTTCAGTTCATCTGCGGTCGCTGAGTAAAGCTAGATTTGTCACACTGACTGGTAATGTGACACAAAKAGTTATAGCCCTACCAATAATGAGTAGGCAGCTGGAGACTAAACAAGTGCAACTGGTTCAATCTGCAAATAGGTTTTATTTTTCCTGGCTTTTGTATCACTTATTTTCAGACTGCAGCATTTAAAGTAACTAATAATGTAATCTCTGATTAGGTACAAAAAATGGTAATTGTATTTATTTGTAATCCAGGTTTCCATGCCAATCAGGGTCTGGTTGAAGGCTGGCTACCTTCTCTTCTGCTGCTCAGGGACTATAACATCCCCTCTTTCTTCACCATGTACAGGTAACTCCTGTTTCTCTCACCGTCTACAGCAGAGCTGCTGCTGTTCTCCCTCGGCACAGTCTTTAATAATGAAATGTTTTAATGCCAGAGGGCGTCATTAACTCATTTTGAAACACCATCTGCTGACTCCCCGCAGACAGAAACGTTGCAAATGATGAGAAAAGAAAATCGGCACACTTGTATTTTCACTTTTTCATTATTATTTTTTTTTCTATGTTGCTGTCCTGGCAGTGAGATGGAGCTGAGGTATTCCCTGCAGATCCTGCTGGAGCTGGAGATGCACATCAGAGAGAGCGGACCCAATCCTTTCACCTCCCAGAAACCCGAGCAGGTCCAGGCCTGTCCCAACAAACCCCCCGTCTACTGCAACTCGCATTACGTCTGCTTTCAGGGGCTGCTGCCTCAGGTGGACTGCGAGGGGCCAGGTGTGCACAGCTAACAGCCCCGCCATCACAACTTTCACATTATTAAGCCTGGAGGTCTTTGCGGGCGCATTTTTACCTCTGCTGCCACGCAAACACCATCAATTAATGAGGCAAATTATATAAATCCATCAGAGCTTTTTTTTAATATATTAATATTATTTTTGGATGGTGTCATCAGTCGGCCATGAGGGTTTCTCCTCCGTCGGTGCCCCGAGGTAATGCCACTGTGGGATTAAAAAGGGGGTCACCGCCATGCATACGGAATGAGACCCAAAATTAGTTGTCATCCCGCAACGGCTTCCTGTGATTTGTTCCGCAGAGAGAGCTATTCCCAAATCCCACAACAGCTGCATGGAAGCAGATCATATGCATACAAATGGAACGCACTGCGTGAAATGAGGCGAGTTCTAGTGTTTCACATGTTTTTGTTTCCTTCTTTTGATTATTGTGCAATATACTTTAAATTCTGGAGAAGGAACTTTTTTTGTACATTATAGAATCTGTTTATTGTGGTTTTAAGGTTGAAAGCATGGTTTTGTAAACATGTTACAAGGGGTCGAGTGGAGCATTCTGACTTGCAAGGAAAAGAATGAATATTTTTCTTGTTATATTGTTGACAACAAACGAAAATATTTTGTTTATCCTGATATTCTCAGGTATAAGGACACAGGACTTCCTTTTGAAGAAGGCAATTATAAGAATATGAATAATGAACATTATGATAATAATGAAATCCTTAACTATGACTTTTTGTTCCTCATTACATAATAATAAAAACAGTAAAGTTTGAGCCGTCATGTTTATTTAATTGAGTGACACTAGCAGTGCAACACTGCCCTCTTGTGGATTCAAAGTATTGCAGCACAAAAACTACAAGCTCACTCAGGTTCTTAGCTAGACCTAATGGGACAAACAAAAGTAATGATGTTTTTCATTATTTCATTTATTTCAGTTCTATATAATATATTTTGAAGTTTAATTATAACCTACAGCAGTGTTTCCCAAAGTTGGGGTTGGGACCCAATGTGGGGTCCTGAAACATCAAGGTGGGGTCCTGACAGGATTTTCTAAATTGATTACATTTTGCCTTAGTTGTTACAAAGGAGTGAGGTTAGTATATTTAAAATGGATAAATGTAGTATAAAAAATATTGTTACTATGCTCATGTTTTGTTGACCTGATACAAATGTTTATCGTCCAAAAATAGTTGGGGGCACAGGTCTCTGCTACTGTTATTTTGTGGGTCAAAAGCTGAAAAGTTTGGGAACCACTGACCTACAGTAACTAAAGGACATTTTGTTGTTTTATTTTTTTATTGGAACTGCTCTTATTTGAGCCGACCCCAAAAGTTACTTTTTATAAACTGCAGATGGTAGAAGAGGTTGGGAGGGAAAATGCAAAAATAAAAAAATAAATGGAGATCAAACCCAGGAATTTGTTAAAAATGTCTCCTAAATCTGTGAACAAACTGTAATCGAAAGTGAATATTTGAACCAAACTGCCTCACTTTATGACAGAGCATAGGTGACAAATAATAAAGTTCAAAATTCAGGCACATAGACAGAATTTTATGTCTAGGTTGTTTTTTTTCAATCAAGCCTTTTTAAGCCAGAAGTATGAGGTCTGCTTAAATCTCCAATGGCATTAACTTTACGTCATTATTGGGGTTCAGTGAGAGTGGGATGGGGTTCCCACGACAGCCCAATGTACATAAGATGAAATAAAAAATATATTTTTCTTACCGTATTCACCAGGTAGTCTGTTTGCAGAAACTCTGGAACTTCTTTGTTGAAATTTGTTTATCCAAGAAGACTGGAGGAGCTGCAGGTAACCTCAGCCTTTATAAGCAGGACCTATGGATAGTGGATCAACCAGTTTGCTGGTGACAATCAAAACATGTTCACAAAAGAGGACCATCAGCCTAACCATCGATCATCAGTGCCCAGATGACCACTTGTTCACAGAGGGCCGACTGATACACGCAGTAACAGTAAGAGGAGGGACACAAACCAACATTCCTTCCTATCGAGGACAACATCATCTCTGAAGGATGACCGCTGAAACCTGGCCTTTTGATCAATTGTGTAAAGTTTTACTGAAAAACTAATGATTTCTTACCTAAAATATCAAAGTTTTGTCAGAACAGGCCAAAAAAAAGTCTTTTTTTTTCCGCCGCTATGCTCCTTGATGGTGGAATTAAGTCTTCTGCTGTTAGGGATGAGTCTTTTTTTATGTGCGTCTCAAGTTGACATGAAGATGCTTTCCRTAATCTGCAACTTCTCACACTCAAGCACTACTCCTATAGGGCAGGGCTCTGCAGTCTGYGGCTCTTTGAAGCTTTGACCAAAGCTAACGTCAGACTGAACACAACAGGCTAAGCTTTAGCAGTTTTCCTATTGATTTGTTTACAAAAATGTGATTGATATTAGAATTAAAGGAGTGAAACATAGATCAATAATCCCAACTACCAGCCTTACAGGATGATCTTGCTTTAAAACCCATCATTTTTTTTACATAATCTGTAAGACAAGTTGCTGAGAAAAAATCTAGAGAGTTTGTTAGATAAGTATTAGGGGATAAAAGTAGCTCGTCACAGTTCAGTGTTTTAGTTCTTATTAAATTTGGCATAAAATGTTTTATGTTTGTTTACATGAATATCATCTTTTCTTTTGTCCTAATGTGTAAAATGAATAATAAATTTTATAATTTACTGTATATTTTTAGTTTTATGTCATCCCCCACTGGCTGGAAAAGCCCCCTTCAACAAACTCAGAGTGGCCCACGAGCCACTATTGATAATCAAGGTTAGGTTGTAAAACGTCATCCCATGACGAGTGCCACGATATAACTTAAATGGACTTAACATCTGAGAATTGGTACGAATCATTGCAGTAGGCTTAGAAAAATGTAGGTCCGTGTTTAAAAGAGAGACTGTACAGTTGACAGGGTCTTTATCTTTCTTTGCTAAGTGTAATGAAGGCCTCTGTGAAAGATGGAGGTAAGTGGCCCAATTAAAAAGATTCAGTTCTGCTGGGAAGTTATCTTTTTTTTTTTAATTCTAAACAAAAACTTGGTATTTAACAGATCAGCTAAAACATTAAGGGGAATCYCCACCCCTTCTCATGCAGTCAGGACTGGTTTGAATGTGTCAGACTTTTCTAGAAGGCAAAGCACAGGTGCTATATCTGGCCCCCACCGCCCCCTTAAACCACATATCACATATCACAACCAGCAGGAGAAGCAGTTGAACAGAACCCTGTGTGTTTCGCTCGTTGACACGGCCTAAACATGACGGCCTCTCAGAGGTAAGCAGTATGTGGTTTACATTTTTTTTAAATTTAGGCTTCTGTACACGTCTGCTTGTTGACTTTATGTCGCCTTTAAAAATGACAAGTGTGTGAAGCCAGGCGCTCTTTAAAGACATTCGAGGGGTGTTCTTAGGTGTCGGAGAGCCAATAATCCCAGATTTATAGTGTTTTTACGAGTATTCGTTTGTTTTTGTGTTAAAATCACCATCGCAAGGCTTTTTGGTTTGTTTTTGTCATGTTTTAAACATAGCCAGTCGTCTCATTTGTGCTTTGGTTTGTTCAGCACGACTCAGGAAGTCAAGGAGAAGGTCACGGCTTTTCGAACTCAGAAGGAGATGTTTGAGAAGATGGAGGAATCCTTTAAGATCTGTGCTTCGTGTGAAAGGCGACCAGATAAGCTTTCCAACCCACAGAGCTTAAAGCGGTGTGCCAGGTACTAAAACATGGAATAAATCCTGGTTTCATTTATACACTGATTAAAGAGAATTGTATGAAGCAAAGAGAGGATTTCAGAAATCGTTTTCTATTTTCGCCCAGATGTTTAAATGTTTACTACTGCTGCAAAGACTGCCAGAAAGAGGACTGGCCCAAACACAAGAAGTTCTGCTCAGTCCTGCGTCTCGCTGCCATCGACAGAGTTGTTGAATGGTTATTATTTAAAGGTAAAACAACCAATAAAGACGGTTCAGTTTGGGTTTGTCCAGCAGCTAGGCTAACTGTATTTTTTTTTTCTGTTCATCAGGAGATCTGCCGTTCCCCACAGACAAGTGGTCCAAGCCCCAGTCTGAGGTCAGAGGTTGGGACGACTGGCTCGCCATGCAGGGAGACCTCACATCCCGACTTGACCCCGTTGTAAAGGGCGAGAACATGAAGGAGCTGTGGACAAACGCGGGCCGGCCTCGGCCCGACGAAGACGACCTGAAGCAGTCGCTGTGGCGGGTCTGCAGCGACTTCTTCTCCAGGCCCCTCACTGTGGTGTGGGGGATGAGACTGTTCGGTTTGAACCCCTGCTCCAGACCACTCACCGTCCACCTGGTGGGGGCGGGCCACACGGAGACCCTCGCAGCTAAACTGACGGACTACGACGAGCTGAACCACATGTTCCCTGGACACCAGGGCATAGAGGTGGTGATGGTGGGACCGGAGGTGGTGGACGGCCCCATCGTGAGGCCTCCTCTCAGAGCCTTCGGCCCCAAGCAGAGGGTCTACATCAGCGCCTACAGGGGTCTCTACCACCAGTTCTGGGAGGAGCTGGTGGAGATGGAGGAGGCAGTCAAACCKGACCTGGTGGTCGGATTTCATCCAGGTGAGAACATCAAAATAAAACTGTACCCAACATACATTCTGATGTCTATTGAACTGGTTTGGATTTTTTATTTTAATGTTTTCTTATCTAGGTTTCGATGCTAGTCAAGGTCTGGATCAGGGCTGGCTTCCAACACTTCTGCTCCTCAGGGATTATGAGATTCCTTCTCTTTTTACTACTTTAAAGTGAGTGTCATGGGTTTATAATGGACAAACACCTCAGTACTATTGTTACTTCGATTGTCTTATTATTACTATTAGTTTGTGAAAATTTATACCAAAGTATTTTAAACTACTGAAAACCAGTGATGATGCAAACATTGAGTCATTTAAAAGACATAAACCACTCRGTACTATATGTTGTAAAGGATTTAATCGATCATGAAATATCGATACTACCGATACCAGAACTTCATGTTCTAGAATCGATACTGAAATCAAAATATCGATACTTTGATACTTTAGTTATATCACATAATGTATATCATTAACAGGAAAATAGTGGAAAATAACTAAACTATTCCACACTTATCTTGATCACATGTGGTTGGAGGGAACTACTTTTTCTTCCGCTTGAGTAATGCATCAGCCATATATCAGTCAGTCAGTCAGTCTGTAGCTGTACGGCAGGTCATTTTAACATAAAATCTGCTTCGTATGTCTGTTGTTACATTTTGGATGAGGGGATCCCAAACTTTTTCATGCCATGCCCCCCCCCCCCCCCCCACCAAAAAAAATGAAAAAACAGCATTAGTTCTGGCCAAGGACCTTCTTGCCAATCCACAAACCATGCCACAAAATAACAACATAACAACTTTTATAATGTTTTTCTCACTTTTATTCACTATTCAAAAATTATTATATTTCTTTAGAATAATAATTTTAAGTTGTGTTAAACAAGTATAAGATCAGGGCTAGAAAGACTTAATTAAATAAATTACTATGTCATGTATTTTTTATAAAGCAGTTATTTGAAAAACACTACTTTTTAAGATTTACCAGACACATTATGTATGTTATCACAAAGTGTCAGTATCGGATCAGTATCGCCGATACCAGACAAATTTAATTTAGTATCAGTATTGGAAAAAAAAATTGGCAGTATTGAACATCACTAGTTTCTGTGGCTCCCGCTAACTGCTAACTGCTAACCGTCTCCCGCCCGCAGCGAGACAGAGATGACCTACTCCCTGCAAATCCTCCAGGAGCTGGAGATGGACATGAGGGGAAGCGGAGCCAACCCGTTCGCGTCGCTCAAGCCAGAAGCGGAGGGCTCGTCTCCCAACAAGCCCCCCGTTTACTGCAATTCTCACTACTTCTGCTTCCAGGGTCTGCTGGAGACCGGGGAGCTCGAGGAGCCCGAGGAGGCCTGAGGGAGCTGGAGCTGTGGCTCCTTTTTTTTTTGTACTTTTCTTTTGTTTTTACCTGAACAGCAGCTCCCACACTGTAACTCTGACTGATATGGTCAAATGTTGGGTAAATCTTTTTATCCAGATACTTCAAAATAAAAAGAACGACAGTCACAGCAGCAGGACGAAGCCACCTGAGCRCTTTTACTTGCATGCAAGGAGTCCATGATTACAGACAGTACAGTGACATATATGTCAACAAAGATGAACTAACAGCTTGTTTGTTTAGGTATTGTTTTACTGGTTTTTAGGGCAAAACTTCTCCATTATTATAAAGTTACAATTCTCATTATCAGACTGCAAATGTTTTGCAATACAGGCCAAATACAGTTGCCCGATGCTTAGAGAGCCTAAAGGTGATAAGTTAGTCTGGTTCCATAAATTTCTCCAACATTGCTGGTAAACAAAAGCTTCCTCATTACATACTTATAAAGCAGAAAACAAGACAAAAAAAACAATTTCCAAAACTAATGAACCTTGATTTTAATATGGCCTTTTAAACCGTTCCAACATCAAATATTTCACGTACTATATTTATGATTATAGTAGTGTACGTGTCATTTTACTGCATATCTAAGTTTTATGGCAAACAAACGAAGGCCATAAAATCCAAACGAACTTTTGTTTAGTTTGCAGATAGTCTATGAAATAGAGCGGTTAGAGCCCCAATAAAACAGTTCTAGTTGCATCGTTCATATTAGTTCAGCTTTTCTTGTTCTTAATTGATCACGGGATGATTTAAAACTGTTACAATAAAAGGAATTTTCAGGATTACAAATAAACGTGTCRCACAGAGTTTAACTTTCCAATCACCAAAGAACAGGAAGTATTAAAACAGACTGAAAATCAAATCATAGGAAACAAAAAAACAGAACATTTACGAGCGTTTAAAGTTACAGATGCCAAACAGTGTGAAAATAAGATCCAGCGTAAAAAGAATGAGGTTCACGTAAGTAAAAAAGGTAACCATGAACTGAATGGCCCAGAGGCAAAAGCTAGGCGGGCAGTCGTTGGGACGGGGGTTGTTTCTGAAGACGTAGATGGGCCACACGATCGCAGCGATGATGTACAGCACCACAGAGATCACCAGGAAGATGAACACAACCCTGTCCAGGTTAAARGGCAAACAGGTCCTCAGTATTTTCAGGATGTTGACGGGGATGATGAGAAGCAGGATGGGGAAAGGGATGATGTACGCAATGAGACAAAAAGTCAGAGCCACGCTGTTTCTGTAACCTGTGATGGAAACAAAAAGCATGCAGCTCACGAACGCCTCCAGAACCTTCCAGAATCCCGGCAGCGCAGACAGGTAGACGCCCGTCTTCTTGTCGAGGCATTTGTCCTTCACCACTTCAAGAAGGTAGAGGAAGCCACACAGGAAGGCGAACACGCTCACGATCCAGCCGTATATGCAGCTGGAGCAGGCGTAGAAGTTGGCGTAGGTGATGGCGGAAGAGATGGTCATGAGCGAAGAAGTCATGGCCATCCCTGTGGTGAAGTCGTCCCAGTCCATGCAAACTTTAAGCAGGATGTGGAGCAGGAACGTCTCGATGACCGTGATGATGAGAGTGATGATGGGGCAAAAAGCCCAGGAGAACATAGCGTAGTTCCAGTAGGTGTGAGCGCTCCCGCCTCTGAAGCAGCCCAGGAGGAAGGTAAGAAAGGAGACGACGATCTGAGCCATGTGTAGCCCCCCACGTCCAGTCAGCAGACTGCTCGGAGTGAACACGGCTTTGGACAGTGTATCCTTCACCTGGTCAATGCATCCCATCGTGGTTAAAGCGTTAACAAGACGTTAAATAAACTCTGGCTGATGAGGACTGACACGTCTCTGCCGCTCTCCCTCCTTCCAACACTGCTTTTCATGATGCCTTTGAATATAGTTTGCATAATGAAACGGACTGTGTAGTGGTGGATACCTAATGCAGCTGCTGAAGCATTACAGAAATACTTTCAGGCTGTCCATCCATCCATTTTTCTTCCGCCTATCCGGAGTCGGGTCGCGGGGGCAGCAGCTTCAGAAGGGAGGCCCAAACCTCCCTCTCCCCAGCCACTTCTTCCAGCTCCTCCGGGGGAACTCCAAG